CTCCCTTAAATCCAAACGCCTCGAAAGGCTAAGGATAGAGGAGAAATTTTAGCATTGAGCCTAAGAGAGACTCCTCGACAACTTACCATGCTAAGGGCAAGAGCATGGCTAGTCCAACTCAAACGGCAGTTGGTAAAGACAAATCAAGTCCGTTGATAGCTGAGGGTTTGCTCAAAATCCTAGAAGGCGATCATCAGCTGCGAGTGAAGAGCAGGGATCACTTTACGGGACTTCATATCCAAAGTGTTCCAGACCCCATGCGGCCTGATTCAGGTCTGAAAACTTTGGAGGGGGTTTTGTAGGCAGTAAAAATTGCCTTTAAATCCTTATCAGAGAAGTTCAGAACAAAACTGCTAAAACCTCACCCGAAATAGCGAAAAAGGGGAAAACGCAGATATCTCCCAAACCGTAAGGAATTTGGCAAAACGGAGGAAGCGAACCAAAGCCTTTGGCTTGGTTCGGATGGCTCCATCTCGTCGAGATAGGCGATTTTCATATATAATTCGTCCAATTCCGACTTACGGTTTGAAAGTTACGGCCTATTCTTCAATCCATGCTCAGGAGCTCGCCTGCAGCTCAAATTCGCCTGCAGTCCCAAATCCGCCTGCAGACCCAAGTCTGCCTGCTCGCCTGCAGCTCGAAATTCGCCTGCAGTCTCAAATCCGCCTGCAGACCCCAAGTCTGCCTGCAGTCCCAAACTCGCCTGCAGACTCAGCTCGCCTGCAAGCTCGCCTGTAGACCCAAGTCTGCCTGCAGTCCTAAGCTCGCCTGCAGACCCAAGCTGCAGACTCGCCAGCTCACTGTCAACTGCCCACTTGGAGTATGGGAACAGTTACATCAGTGGTCAAATCCCACAAATCAAGGGAGAGGGCACAATACTCCAGGCCCGTCAGATGGCCGTCCACAGTACGAATGAGCGGACAGGCGCCGAAACAGCCTGCACCCTCATAAATGCGGCTCACCTCAGTTGTCCAGGTGAAGGGACGAGAGCCGCCAACGCTCGGTGGTTGGTCAGATCCACGCAAGCATCTGACAGCCGTTGTCACGCATACGAGGAGGGGCTTTCCCACTCCTATGTAGCGTGATGCAGAGCACAGCTCTTCGAATGACCATTGACGGTACGAATGAACAGCAGGACGTCTCCGAACAACGTGTGGTCACATCCCATAATTCAAGGAGTAGTCAAGCTGTCTCCCTCACATGGTCAAATCCCATGAATCAAGGGATGGCCCATGTCATCCCTTGCCTACTAAAACCCATCTTCAGCAGCATGAAGAAAGGGGATTGGCCGTTGCATATTCTGCTGGCTAATCTCCCAAAGGTTGAACCTGGACCTTTGCCAAAGGCTCCCTCATTTGAGAACCGAAGCTCCGGCTCCGGCATCAACTTCGATCGGATCGTCCAAGGGAAGCAGACTCGGCACGAGCACCGAGCGAGGCATCCTATCGCCACCTAAAGTCCCCACACAAAAACAAAGAGGGCCTTCCCTCTGCTTCTGTTGTAAATATTTGATTTGTTAGTTTGTAATAAGCTTTCTTATAAATACAAACGAAACTCCTTTCTTCGGAAGAATCAAATTTTCACCCTACAGTGAACTTTTTTTATTTGACCAAGTAAATTTTCTCCCATATAAAGGACTGTCAATTAACTCAAGATCCTTCTGTCTGTAAGTTTTGATTTGTTGTTTGTAATAAGCTTTCTTATAAATACAAACGAAACTCCTTTCTTCGGAAGAATCAAATTTTCACCCTACAGTGAACTTTTTTTATTTGACCAAGTAAATTTTCTCCCATATAAAGGACTGTCAATTAACTCAAGATCATTAATCACTTCACGGAATTCTTCCATCTCCTTTCTATGATTATGTTTACCTCTTCTTTCATCAGCATTAAAAGTCACATTAAAATCACCCACAACAACCCAAGGACCTGGAAATCTGTTTTTAACAGCTTTAAGTTCCTGCCAAAATAACCTTCTCTCACTATTGCAATGGGGACCATAAACAGATGAAATAGTCCAAACAATAACATTTCTCTTATTTTATAACATAACAATCAAAACATATTCTCCAATTAACTCTTGAATTTTTTTTCCATTTACTATTATTCCAACCAATCATAATACCTCCTGAGGTTCCATTAGCGGGCAAAAAAACCCAATCAAATATATTTCCTCCCAAACTTTTTAAAATCCTGTCATCAATACTGCTCAGTTTTGTCTCTTGTAAACAAATAATCTCAAATTTGTTTAGCATACAAAAATCTTTAATGCCAAATCTTTTAACACTTAAACCAAGACCTCTCACATTCCATGTAATTAACATATTATTAGCAAAAAAACTCCTCAAAATCAACAAGAAAGAGCAAAGACTACTCAGAAGTAGCTGTCTCCCTCTCCATCTGCCTCACTTTTTTTAAGGGGTCAAAATCCCCCTGAGGCTCAAGGATAATAGCACATTTTGAAGTTACACTTTGCATTTGCTTATTGGAAAAAGCATCAAATAAAATAGGAACATAAGAAGAACCCAGGTTAGAGAGATTTTCACCTGATCCACTCACTGACATACCTTGAGATTGCAAAGTTTTATTTTTTGTAGCTGCCCTTGCAGTGGCTTTGTCTAAAGCAGTCATAGGCTCAAGGTCCACGAATCTGGAACATCTACGAACATATGCCAATTTAGAATTTGTCTAAAGCAGTCATAGGCTCAAGGTCCACGAATCTGGAACATCTACGAACATATGCCAATTTAGAATTTGCAACAAGCTCGTGATCTGGAGGAGGTAAACAATTAAGAGGTTGAACTGATAATATCTTATCCTCTTTCTCTGAATCATTCTTTTTATTGTAGAACTGCTACAGTGAGTCCATCAGCCATTTATCATTATCTTCAGCTTCACTGATCATAAGAGATTTACCTTTATCATCCTCTTTTGTGGCAGTATCTTCTTCCAAAACAACAGAAGATAACAGACTTTTCTCCACAACAACTTCCCTATCACTGTCATTCTCTTTACTCTGAAACACATCAATCCTCTCTTCAGAAATATGAAACTCCTCAATTTTGTCATGGGTTCGATTATGAGTTGGGTTATAATTAAGAAAAGTATTTAATGAAAATTAGACAAGAGGATTCTTTATTTAAAAAATATAACACCAGAGAGCTTTAAGGAGATTATTTGACAGTTACCCCTTAAGATTTTATTAACTTTATTCTGCAATAAAGTAAGCAAATATGGTGGTGGTTCTCTCTTCTTTTCAAAGATTCTTCCATTCATTGTCTCTTCGATAAAATGAATGTTCCTCCGAACTATTTTGTCCGACCATCAACTCAATTTTAGGGTGATTTGGTGGTCCTAGCTATACGATAACTTCCAAAAGGTAGTGTATTATTCTCTATCTTAACCTTTTGTTACAACTTCCCATTTTGCAAATATCAATAATAAGGCATTCCCTTTAATCTGTGGCTGTTTATTTCGATCGTGTTGAATACTTGTAGTTTTTATTCATCACAATTAGTTATCTTAATTGTGAAAATTTGAAATAAACAGATTTGGAAGAAAAGATAATATTTCAAGGTAATTTCATAGTACTAAATGCATGAAAAGAACCGTGAAATCGTGTAAAAAAATAAAGTATTGCAAGCACAATCGAGTAGGCAAATGCGTCAAGATATTTTTTTCAAATGTTCTAAAGAAATTTCTATCCTATCATTTATGACAAATGGATTAAAATTTTTTTCATAGCCAGAAAACAAATGTAATGACTTAACTTTTAGATGTATCATGTATGATCTATCTAGAGCTTTGTATTTTTATTATGAGTATCGTTAACATGACAGACATCTAGACCACTGTGTACTTAATGATAAATGTGTTGATATGATATAAGACAGTATAACTCGTTGTACATTCTGTAATTCCAGTCAAAATTAACAAAGTACACATGTTTTTTGTCACCCAAAAGTTTGCGCAAACGTAATGTCGGTCGTTTATTATCATTGCTCCATCACTGTCACCGTGTACGTCCCTACCCAATTCTTAGCAGTTTCCATCTCTTATTAATCACCACCGTTCAATTCCTCAACTAAAACAAATCATAATAGTGATGGGTCTCCAATACAGTAAAATTGATTACCCATTAACCGATGGTACTTATTTCTTAATCCATCTTAATGAGTGTCATCATTGACATCTCATACACGGAAGATAGAGCGGTGGGTATGCGGGCCCACTGTCGCACGGAAGGAGTGTAAGATCCAAGATTTGCTATGACTCGTTGACCACAATAATTTACATTCCTTTACTCTTCTCAAAAGATAATTTACGCGATTTACGTGCCCACATGTGACCTTATCTCACGTTTTTCTTTTTCGACGGTCTGTTGTTTAGTTCTCTAGCTTATAATAAATAGTTACATCACCTTGATTTTGTCTAGGTTTTATATTTTGCTAAAATCAAACTAGGCTCTGTTTTTCAAAAAAAAAAATGTCTGTAATTGATGTGGGTACAATAGCAAAATAATTTACATTCAAATTCAAACTATTTTAGTTCTATATTTCTAAAAGAATAAACAAATAAACTTTATAACTATGGAATCCCCTCATGTTGTTTACGGACCCATCCTCTGAGAGAAACACTTTTAAATTACAGTATTTCAGGTTATCAAGATATTCAGTCATAATCGCGTAATTATACACCACTTTGGTGACATATCAGCAAATATCATCGGTGAAACGTATGACATATCAAGCACACAAGTATTAGCATGTCCCTTTTCATGCTCACGAGTGATGTGCTACTAGTCCGGTATGCGTTCTAATCTGAATAATAAGTAGGTAATCAGAAGCTAAGGGTATGAATATTTTACAATGCGAAAAATATAAAATGGAACCAATTAACTAGCCCAACCTTTACTCATATTTTATTAAACCTTTGATCGGTCATCCACACGTTACTTCTTTGTCTCCACACCATAATAAAGAAGCTTCAACGAAAGTATTCCTTCCACCCACCTCCACATCCTCACTCCTCTCTCTCTCTCTCTCTCTCTCTCTCTCTCAAACCCCCTCGTTAATTTTCTTGGAGAAGATCAATCAAAGCCCTCTCATCCGTCATCCACCATCGCCAGGCAGCAGCCATGTCCAAGGACTGCGGCAACCACAAGCGAGAGATCCTCCTCCGCAAGCTCTGCTCCCTCCTCGTCCTCCTCGTCATCATCGTCCTCATCGTCATCCTCATCGTCTACCTCGTCCTCCGCCCTACCAAGCCCAAATTCTTCCTCCAAGACGCCACCGTCCTCCAATTCAACCTCTCCCAACCAACCCCCAACCTCCTCTCCTCCCAACTCCAGGTAATCAATCCCCTCCATATTATTATTATTTTTAACCCCAGCCAGCATGCACCACCCTATACAATCAGAATTCTTTTTTTTACAAACTATTCGTCAGTTTGCTTTGCAGTAAATTAATTGCGAGAAATTCCCCTCAGATCATATCCCAATTTGGCAAACTCCTAAAACCCGGACCAGGATTGATTTCGATCCTGGCCTAGTTTTGAGATAATTGAACTGCTTCTGCTTAATTTCCTCTAATTTTAAGAAATTTTTTTTTGCGCCTCAATAATACAATTGGGTAAACTGGCGCCGCAGTTTTTGCCAAACGAGATTCTTCACATACGATTGCTAAATAGATTATTAATAAGGCGTAAAAAAAATAGTGCGCGTGTTAAGCTGTTAATAAGTTAGTTGAGAGATGACAAGTGCGCGCTAGCTGCTATACAATTTTCCTGTCAATAAAATCGCTCATTTCGCGCAGGTGACTCTCTCCTCCCACAACCCCAATGCCCGCATAGGAATCCTGTACGACCGAATGGACGTGTACGCCTCCTACCAGTGGCAACAAATAACCCTCCCCGCCCGCCTCCCTCCGATCTACCAAGGCCACAAAGACGTGGACGTTTGGTCGCCGTTCATCACCGGATTCGGAATCCCAATCGCTCCGTACCTGGGCCAGTCCCTCATCCAAGACGAATCCGACGGGTTCTTCTTTCTCTACGTCAAAGTCGACGGGAGAATCCGGTGGAAAGTTGGGAGCTGGACTTCCGGGCATTATCACTTGTTTGTGAACTGTCCTGCTTACTTGTCGTTTGATCGGAGGTCCATCGGCAATGGAGGTGGGTCGTCGGCGATGTCTTCGATTAAGTTTCAGCAGATCTCGACCTGTAGCGTTGATGTTTAAGATGTAAGTTCTCTGAATTTTTTGAACTCTTTTTTTTTTGGTGTTGTATATTGTTATTATGGAGGAAAATAAGGGTGCGCTTGCTTAAAGGACAAGAGTATGAATATGATTAATGATTAATTTTTGTTTAAGACAAGGGTTAATGGAAGACAGGGTGGTTCGCTTTTTAGATTTATTGATTGCTTTTGTTAGGTGCGCTTTGTTTTGTTGATACAATGATATTGATTGATCCCTTTTCTAGGTTCTTTATTAGAAAAGTTTGTTTTTTTTAATAACTTTTTATTGTTGAATTCCGATTCTCTTTGAGTATTTGTCTCCAATTTGTTATTTAGTATTTGTCTCCAATTTTTTCTAAATAAGAATATTTAGTTAATCATTATCATTTTTTTTTAAAAAAATTTAAGCAATGGGGAAACTTGGTTAGGAGATTCCTATCTCTAAAAGAGAGCCTGAGTTCGTGTCCTTACACCATGATTAAGATTTAGTCCTCTCGAGAAAAACTCTATGAAATCGGGGCCACCTCAATTCTATTTCAATAGCTATAAATTTTTATTTCCCGTTTCTTTAATTATATATGACCAAACAATCTCAATAGTTTGTCTTTTTATTATCCTCAATACTACTTTCCTTACTCTTATGGACTTTTTTGGCGGAATGGTGACCTCTTGCCTACTACTAATACATCATTTTAAGCGCTCCTGCTTTATTAGCACAACACATCATGTGCGCCACACAAACGGACACAAGATGACGTGCATTTTACAAGAAACGGTGTCACTAGCAACAAATTCTACTCTGTTGATCTGCAGAATATCGCATATTATTGTTTACGGCTGCTACCTTTGGGTTTTGTCTATTCCAATCTGACAGCTCAGTCTTTGCCTACCATTCCTTGATAATGAATGAGGTGCTAACTACCGCCCATTTTTAATGTGCCCTTGACGTACTACCCCCATGAATGAAATTTTGGCAATGACTGAAAACTTTAATTTGGACCCATAACTTTTTACTACAACTAACATGAAAAAAAAATGACTTGAAGATAACTTAAAAAGCAAGTTCTTTAGAGTTTGGTCTAGTCCTTTTACTCTGGTTAACTATAATCTTATCACTTATTCTGAGTTGTATATGTAGTGTCTTTGTTGTATACGACCAAACTATCTCAATTGTTTCTTTCATGTTCTTGGCAATCGGCGACCTCTTACATTTTGCAGAAAAATACTCATTTTTCATCCTATGTTTTAGTGCATGAAATGAAAGATTGATAAATAAATAACAGCTCATTAATCAAAGAGATACATTCTGTTGCACAAAATAGAGCGGAAATCAAAGCCATAAAAAATAACCAAAGGATACCACAAGCACAAAACACAAGGATTTACGTGTTTTAGAGAAGTCCTACGTTCACGGGCAGCAGCAAATAAAGTTTCACTAAATCAGAAAAGAGATTATAACCCACACAATAATAACCCACACAACAAGATGGACTCTCTCTCTCTCTCTCTCTCTCTCTCTCTCTCTCTCTCACTCAGAAGATAGAAATTTTTTCTATCATGTTGATCCATGGATTCTCTTTTGAGATACCATATTTCTCTCAATTTTTTTTCATGCCATAGATCTGAGAATTCAACTCCTTAAATAGTGCTAAATTCACGTACGATCAAGATTCCTAAATCCCTATTTAAATAGAGTTTCTATTGCCTTAAAAAAATCCTTTTCAATATGACTCCTTAAAAACTCTATGGCAACAAATTCTTTCCAAATAAGAGAGAGGCCAATTCTAAAAAAAATCTCCTCCTTAGACTGAATTCAATCAACTATACTGAAATCTACTATTGCTATTAACCCCCGTGGGGCTATCTCCATCTTCTAATGCTGAGCGAGCTCATAATTCGACGGTCCTTTTATTGGATGCTCTGGTTGCTTCGAGACTTTATTGCATGGATTATATAACTCAATGTGGAGTGTACCTGGCGTTGTATTATATCACCCTCTGGTGTAACTTCGTCCAGTACGGGCTCGGGCTCCCTTGAGTGCACATGCATTACATTTGGCTTTGGTGCGACTATGTTCGTCTTTGAAGCAATTGAGACGCTATCTCCATTAGCCAATCATGTGTTTTGGCTCTAATTGGACTCAACTAGATCCGAGCCAAGGTGAAGATTTGTAAGGAAGTTGTCTCCATTCGGTTGTGTGGGGTTCGGTTTGAAAAAAAAAACATAAATTGAGAGTTAGTCTCAAATCATATAGAGAGTATAAGATGGATAGATGCTAAAATATGCTTGGACTCATGACTCAAAAAGGATCAGTCCTATTGAGTCAATTACGCCAAGTAAATTAGCGTAGAGTGTAGTCTATCTACTTAATGGACCTTTCCAAAAACCTTAACACATCCTCACAACATTAGTCTTGAAGAAGTAGATTTCAAAATCTAAGTGGTAAATGTCTTATTACCATTAATCTTTGGCTATATGAGAATGTTTAACCTTTTATATCATCACATCGTCATGCAACAAACGATGATTGGAATGACCATGACCTCTGTAAATAAATATGGCTACATGTCACTTTCTGGTCCTAATAGTTTGCTCACTGAATTAATTAATAAATATTATTATATATTTACGTGTAACTGAAGAAAATTGAGTCCACGAAATATTCAAGGAAAAAAGGAAGAAAAAAAACGACTCCTATGCGCTTGGACTCGAACTTCTCTTTCTGGTTGAGGTATTTGTTGCTCCCACCGACAGCTTTGATTGAGGTAACCTTCGCCTCTAATATGACACTTTTTGCACCTTCTTTTTTCTTTCCAAACTTTTATGTATAAAGATTTACATGACATTTTATTTGAAAAGATAAAGGCAGATTATTCTTTATATGAAATAAGGAAAATCGATAACACGTTTTGGAGTCCAAAATAATATTGCAAAATATAAGGTTTGACCAAGGAGAGAAGTGAGTAAAATAATATATTTTGCTTTTTGATGAATATTTCTACAGCAAAGGAAAGGAAGGAATTTCTTCTCATGTTTCGTTAGGCTCCGTTTGGCAAATGGTTAAGAATAAAAGATTAAGAAGAAGGGTTAACATAGTTAGTATCGGATCTATCCTTCCGAATTGATCTCACCCTATCGCGACTAGATCCAATTTATTTCTCCATCAAGGGTTCAGAGCTCAAAACGAGGGATTTGGCCGATCCATAGCATCCAGTTGCGCAACAGCTACTTGATCTTAAGATAGGTCATTTTTGACTTTCGTGGATCAACCAAGAAACAAGTGGACAAGCCTAGTTCACTTTGACTGTATTCGTTAGACCGTTTTCATTTTTTCTATAAAGAAGGGTATGGTGGTCCCGTCAGTTGTTCTTTTTGCCTTTACGAGGGAAAAAAAAACTAAAAACAAGGGATGACAAATGACCATTTGTTAATTTGAAGGGTTAAAATTTTTAATCTGTTAAACTAATTTACTTTAATCTTTATTGTTATTTTTTACGTTTGGGAATAAAAAAGATTATGACACTTTTCTTTATAAATAGAGGGGGTCTCTTAATCCTTCTACATAGGTGGATTTGTAAACCCTTCATTTTGAGGGGTTAATTCGTTTTAACCTCTCTTGAGAGATTTGTAAACTCTTTTAACCTTTATTGCTAGATTTGTAAACTCTTCTACTATTTTTTTTATTTAGCAAATTATGAGGGGTTAACTCAATTTGCACCATGTGTACGCTTTTTGTGTTTAGCAGATTAAAAAAGATTAACTCTTCTTAGTTTCTCACTTAATCCTTGCCAAACAGAGCCTTAAGAATTATAATTGAGATAGAAGCAAGAAAAAACATCATACAAAGAGATTTCATCATTTCTGTATCAGAAACATCAAAAGTAATATTTAAATATAATTTTTAAAAGGGTTAATTTCACAAAACCCCATTGAACTTTATTTATTTCACATAACCTCCTAAATCTTGGGATGTCTCACAAAACTCTTTTGAATTTCAAACTTTTCTTACCAGACCTCTCACATGTAATTTGCAAATATTTAAAATTTCATTGGGAGAAAAATCTAAAATTTAGGAGAGGGAGTATATTATCTGTAAATTGTAAATGACAAGGTTTAAAATTTTCTCTTAGAAAAATTTTAGTTATTTGCAAATTACATATAGGGGGAATCTGGTAAGAAAAGTCCAAATTTAGGTGGAACTTTGTGGGACGCCCAAAGTTCAGTGGGTTATGTGAGAGAAACAAAGTTCAAGGGGTTACGTGCAACCCCTAACGTTTTGGTTAGTTTTGTAAAATTACACCTTTTTAAAATATTAAAATTTTATGGTCATGCATTTCAAAGCTATTTTATAAGTTGGGAAAAGTCGATCTGGTTAGTATTTGAAGCGATCGTGAATTTTTAGGGAAACACTTTTTTCTTTTCTTTTCTTTTTTTAAAGGAATCAATTAGCTTTTATTGACTTTACAAATCAATCCAAACATTGTCTGCCAAAAAACTCCAACGAGGTTAACCATCAATGAAACAATACATAGTTGTAAATAAAATTAGTGATATCATCATGGGGTTTGTTAGCGTGCAAGATGAGTATTTTATGCATATTCAAAAAGAAGGGGGAAAAAATGATAGCATCCTCTCCAAGGGTTTCCTACAATGTTCCTTAATCTAGAGGGAATTTTAAGGGAGGGGAATGTTCTCCTCCAATGGTTCCCCCTTAGGGCATCTCCAACCCAGCATCAAAATGGTATAAACAGTGTTTTTTGTTGCACTGTTCATTCTCCAACCCAGCCCCATTTTCTGCGCCATTTTGGTGCAGTTGAACAGTGCTGCACCAAATATGGCGTTGCACTGTTCATCCGCCCTATTACTTTTTATTTTTTTTTAAAAATTTTTAAATGTTTATTTTTACCTCTTAATTAATATAAAAATAGATAAAAGGAAATAAACTGAGAATATTCTGAGAATATTCTTTTTTGGTGCAAAAAATAGTGTAATGGGTTGGAGATGTATTACTGTTTGATGTGACTTTTGCACCATTTTGATGCAAAATTTGCACCATTTTGATGCAATGGGTTGGAGATGGTCTTAGAAGTCCCCCTACCCCTTAATTATTCATATTTAAGTGTTTTAATTTTATTGATTAGGATTTAATTAAATATGTGGTTTATACCCCTTAATTATT